ACACACACACACACACACACACACACACACACACACACACACACACACACATACATACACGCGCGCGCATACGTACGCAAGTGCACACCAATACACACTCATACACTTCCCTCACACTTCTCTCACACTTCCCTCACACTTCTCTCATACTTCCCTCACACTTCCCTCACACTTTCTCTCTTCCACACACATCTGTGTATATAACCATAATAACACGATAGAATGCTTGTACTCACAAACAGGCTCACCTTCACATGCATAATGTATATGAACAGTAAAAGTAAACATTAGCCTTCAGTGTTATGCTAGGTAATAATATGTAGCCTACTCAGTATTCTGATTGTAACCCAATGGTGTTCTGAATCTGATTTCCAACTTCGTGAGGTTGTACCATCCGAAAACCATACACAATATCGACAATAATAATACAAACAAAGGTAGTATCATAGTTACCCCCAACCCCCTCCCCCTTTACTACCAGCCACTGTGCCTGATTAGTTTGGCACACAGAATTCTACATTTAGTGTAGAATTCTGTGGTTTGGCATCAAGTTTGGATTCCCCATTGCACTGATGTTAGCAATCTCTCAAAATCGCTTAAATCACTGATATTCTTCCGCTCTTTTTCGTTTGGAAAACAAAAAACACAGAGCAGTCAAAGAGACATGGGAAGTAACTCTAGTCAGTTATCATAACAAACAAAATCATGCTTTACTGGAGCACAGGAGTTGTAGTAAAAAAGTAGATTTTCTGTGTGTATTTTGTCAAAAAACACACTGTCCTCTTGAAGATTCTATGAAAAAAGAGTCACAGCTTTCATAAAACCCAGTCTTCTACAAGTGAATTTATTGGTGATTCACAGAATCAGTTTCAAGATCGAAATGTATATTGCTGCAACAAAACGTAAACACGACTGGCAGGATTTTACTCTCATTTTGGTAAGACTCAAGATTAGACTTAAAGATTATTTTTGAGTAAGATATTTATAAGTACTAGATCTAGAGATCTAGAATAGATCTAGATTATATCTAGTAAAGAATACTCAGCTAGTCGCCCGTCTGTTGCGGAACACAGCACTACACCACAAATTAAAACGACATATAGATCTATATATGTAATAAATGATAACGAAAACTCTGTCTTAGTCTTAATGTGGTTGTTGAGTATTTAATTTCAATAAATAAATGTAGTACATTGTATGTTTCCTGCAGTGAGTCGACCAAGGCTCTGTCCCCTACTCTCTCTCGTCCGATTGTCCCGCAGAAAGCCGTGACTGGCTGATTATATACACTTTCCTGAACTCTTTTACGCATGATGATCCCCTCCCCGCACGAGATATCTGTGTCACTCCGCACGGGAACCCGCGCTCCGAGGAAATCTCGTTACTTGTGTCCACAACACCGTCTGCCATCTAGTCTCCTTCTGGGTTTATACTATTTAGTCGCCACCAATATTGAACCGGGCCGGGGTGAGAATTGAATCAAAGGCCTACTCCACATAGCCTAATCCGGCGATTTTGTAGTTTCGTTCGTTAAAGTCAAGAGTAGGGGGGTTTTAGCTCCCCTGACCTAAAACAAATATAGAGGGGGGGGGGGGTTCAAGGGGGCATGCCCTCCTGAATTTTAACATAACGGAGTCCGTTAACATAATTTGATGTTTTGCAGGGTTGCATCCCTGTTCTTTGTGTTGCCTATTTGGTCATCAAGACCTATGGATTTCTTCTCTGGATGTAAACAATAAGTGGATCGTGGACTTTAATGAACGGAACTACAAGATCACCCCTAATCCTACTATTCCCACCCCGTTTTTTCGTTTCCGCCTTATTTGTTTCATAGGTTTTGAGTTATAGGATGTTGGGATTGAACTCTGACTGATCTTGTTACAGATCTAGATCTGTATCTATTAGATTCTAGATCTAACTCCCCAAAAAAATCCTTGAAAATTTTTTTTTCCGACGCCAAGCAGTAGGCCTACCTAGATCTAGAATCTAGATCTAGATCTGTCCCAAACCTTTTTCGGAATCGCCCTTTTTTAGTCTTTGAACCAAATCCCTAACAGAGCCTCAAAGCCTTACAATTGTGCACAACTGACACCGGTTCAAAAGACATTCAACAGAAATCACATTCTATAGACATCTTCAACTGAAATTTTTTCCTCACTGTCTTCATAATTGGCCTCTAAATCGCTCATTTTGCGATCATTTTGTTTAAAAATGAAAGAATAACAACACCACAATGCTATATTATACGTTAGTCCCATAGTTGTATTCTCAGACCGGGTGAGAATAAAATGAATATTATTCTGTGAGAATTAACGCCAACCTATTGAACTGGTCTGTTATAAGGGTCGCAGTGACTCTTACTCTACGTTCGGGGCGAATCACTGTCACGGCGCCCTGAATCATCCACCATTGGCACAGAGGCACGACTGAAGCGCTACAGTCACTCAAAGTGAATGAGGACAAAACAATACAAGAATACTTCGCATGAAAAATAATGCAGCGGCTCGGTAGTCCTAATGCAACAGATGGCGAAGGCGGGCACAGCAAAACAGCCACGGTCGACAAGGCCTCGCTCGCTCAACACGCTGAACACGACGTCGATCTTCTTCCCGTGTGTAGACCCTGCAATGCTCGACAATTTTAAATTAAAAGTCATTCAAAGAAACAAGGGAGAATGGAAGAAGGCCAAGGCGGGAAGATGGGTGGGAGACGGTGAAAAAAGAAGAAGCAAAAGGGAAAAGTTTAGGGGGTAGAGTGAGCAAAATCGTTCTTAAATAGCGAATTACATTAAGGGCACCGTGAATGTACCCTGCAAACTAGTCTAAAATCTGAGTAAAAATATTTTGTTGACTGTTGGCTACTGTGTGGTTTTTGTTGTTGTTATAACATTTTTATAGTTATGGGACAGAATGATGAGAATAGAAAAAGTGTTTCGGGTGGACTTGTTTCATGTGATGCTTATGAATGCCAATAGAGCACAGTTAAAAGCTGCTGACTCAGGAGTTTGATGTAGCCTCATTTTGTAACTTTAGCCACCTGTGCAACTCAGTCTTATTTGTGAGGTTCATATTTTAGGTCTACTGTGGAACATGGTGGAGTGGTGGTCACACAAGGCTCAGATTTTGCATGTTCTGTCATTTTACCTTCCTACAGGTAGCAGTTAGAGTGGCGTGTAGTTGATGTAATGTGGTGGTTCTCCTTTGTGAATTTTGAGACGAGAAATAGTGTAGACCCTAAATCTTTAGGCTTAGGAGTAGGAGAAGTTTTAAGAAACAGGATCCATTCTCTCATTCTCCTTTCCTTGAGTTTGAGTTTCTTTGATGCAAGTTTCACTGTACTTTTAAATTTTAAATATCTTTGGCTGACAGTATTCACAATTGTAGAGAGACTATTGTAACGTGACGAGTTTAAAAGTTTCCAGTCGTGAACATTTTTATTTAGATTTCCAAGTACATGCTTTGTTATGATATTCGGTATTCAACGGTCAGTTTTATCATTCTACAGCCGACCGTGTCTGTTGGCAATGTGGGCCAGCTGGCTGCTGACCTTATCATTTCTACTCTGTGGATGGAGAGAGTTGGTTACATCCACCACCCAAGTCTGCTCCCTGTGGCTGGGAACAATCCATTCGCTCACGAGGATGCCACCTCATGCAAACTGGCCACATGCTGTGAAGGTACGTTTCCATTCTTGTTTGAGTGGGTGGGCATAGAAGGATTCTTTGTGACATTCAAGTACACTCTTTTTAATTAATTGGAATTTAATTGTGTGTTCAATGATGAAAGGAAAGGAACTAAACAAAACAAAAAATACCTACTCCTCATGGAAATTAAAAAGTGCAGTTATTGAAAGATTTAGAATAAAATACTGAAATGTTACATAATTGCGGTCTAATAAGAACAGTGTAAAGATTGTTTTGTGGACTTTGATGATTTATGACAGATATTGTACCTCCAAAAGAGTACATTTGGTTACTCATTTCATGCCCCTCTCCTGTGTTCTGTGTCTACAGTATACGAGAGTATCTCTGCCCAGGTGGTCGTGATACAGCAGAGAGCACCATTTATCAAGGTGAGCTATGTCATGCATGCCAAAGATAGTCCACTTTCTATGACTGATCCTTTTTATGCTATTTTCATCAGTTATTACCATAGACCAGGGGTGAACAACAGGCAGACAGCAGGCTGCAACCTGGCCTGCCAGGCCAATCATTGTGGTCCTCATTTAGGGTTAATTTATAGTTACGATTCATTTTCTTCAAGAAGACAGTCCTAGACTCTTCTTATGAAGGGTAGGTTCAAAATTCTTGTCCCAATGGTATCGAGTCCATCACAATATCTTATACTTACTATAGATTATTCTGTTTGTTTTAGTAGAGGTTTTACGGCGCTCGCAACTGCATAAGGTCATATGAGCGCCGAGGGGTGGATGTCAACAGAGAAGTCCTTACAGGGAATCAGACTAACTCCGCTCATCTCTCTAGCTTCAACAACACAAAGTCTGCTTCGACTATCATGGCACCCCGGCAATAGCGGGTCACAAGAGTGTGACAAACATACAAAAGAAGTAGAGGAAAAATGACGACAGTAAGGATGAGGAAAGAAAAAGCAGCAGTTCCCTGTTGCAGTTCAGGAACAGTTATGAGCATGACATTGATGAATCAGCCCATTTACAATTCTACTGTGCATAAGAACAGGTTAATGTCCCCCCTTGGGGAATGGCCTAAAGATACTTCAGTCAGTAGCAGCACCGCCCTGAGGGGTAATTAATTTACTATAGATTCTTAAATCTTCAAAGCAGTCAGTTAAAAATATGATTGCTTCTGCACTGTGTCAGAAAATATGCCAATATATACAAAAAAGGTCAATTATGCAATGGGCTGAAGCTTCCTGAGATCTTCCAGTGGAATGCCGAAAGAGAAGTATAAAAAAAAAAATTGTCTTAATTAGAATACTAACACCTGAAATTACCTTTTTTTATTGTGGTAAATGGTTGTAACTGGGTAAAGATTGACGAGATGAACTCTCTGTCACAATGTATCATTTAAAGTGTGCCACACATATTGCCCATCATTGATCAGTTTTGTCTATAAGATGAAGTGTCAGTTGTCACTGTGCGTGTTTCATAAAGTTCTTTCACATTTATGTTTTATATGTCTATAATACTTAATCTACTTCTTTTTAAAACATTTTTCAGGGCAAGCGGAAAGAGTTTGCGGACTGGTTGTCCAAATGGGTTAAGGACAAACACTTCTACAGAGTGATCATCCTCACCAGCACATTTGCTCAGGAGCGGTTAGATTATCAGATGACAGGGTAATTACATTAGAATGTTTACTTTGTCAAATGGTCTTACAGGTGGGTATTCCAGCTCATACACTGTGTCATGATGGAAAGTTGCAACTGGACAAGAATAATCTATTTTGAACTGCAAGTGTAAGTAATAAGGATGGATATTCACAGAATTTTCCGTGAAGTACAAATTTTCTCACCACTAATGAAAAAAAAAAAGACGGTCCTCCTCATTAAAGGAAAGACTTAAATCTTGAATCCATTCTTTTATGATTCAAGTTTAGGTGAAACAGGACAAGAACTTTTGTTCTACATCATGTGCTGGTCCTTTAATTAATAAAATGTATACTTGACCATCATCATGAATGAGCTGCTGTCATGCTGAAGTGGAATGTTGAAATGTGTGCAATTCTGTGTTTGATAGCCATTTTTGTACTTGTACTTAACATCATGGTACTAACTTTTTGGTCCATGTAATTTCTTTATACTCTTGAGACATTGCAAAGAAACATTTTCATTTACTGAAAACTGGTGACTCCAGCCTGTTCCCAAAAATCTTTGTTTTTATCTTTATGTGAGGGTGAGGTGGCGGAGTGGTTAGTGCGCTTTTCTCTGAAGCTGAAAAAGTCTGGGTTCGAGCCTCCTTTCGGACACATTTTTTTTGCCCCCTCCTGCCCACCCAGCAATATTTTTCGAGTTTGGGAAGTAAAGGTGGTGTGGAAAGGAACTGGCCTGCCTACCACAATATGCCGAAGGCCCAGAAGTTGTCTCACTGACAAGGCAATCCCCAATGTCCGGATCAGATGCGGCAACTACTTTATGTGTTAGCACTTTTTATAAAGATATATATGAAGACATGTGAGGTCGCCTTCAGAATTTTCCTGCGGGCTGATTCACATTTGGCCTGACTTAGACCAAAAAATAAACACCATGACAATGGCTTCTTTGTCAGGTCCCCGTTTCGCATCCTCCAATCTCCGAGCATGGAGGAGCAAAGTGGTGAGTTCTTCAGGACCAAAATGGGGTGGAAGGAACTGGAGCGACGTCATTCTTTTCCTGCACCCACGCCTCAACAAGTGGCCGCAGAGGAAACTGGTCATCAGCTTCTCTACATGCCAGGCTCCGGTATTGCCAAGACGCTCTATGAGAATTGGTAAGATTTTTAAAAATTTTCTATAAATAACGATAATTTCTTGTAAACAGTGCTTCCACTCTTCCGTATTTTTACGGAAATCCGTACTTTCTGCTAGTTCCGTACTTGTTCCTCCATCATCATCAACTCCCTCCGTAAAAATCTGCGACAGCGTAGGACTACCAAAATTCCGTAGCAAAAGATCCGTACTCGCCTTCGTATGTCTTGTATAAGTTACGGATATTTACGGTAATTCTCTCGGCAATAGTTTATGCTATAGAAACCTGCCAGATTGTGCATTTCCTGCAATCGGCCATTATTCTACTCTGCCCCATGCATTCATTGCAGGCTTGTCGGCAGTACATTTTTTACCTGCAGATTGATCAAAATCTGGCGAACTTTTTGTGCCACTTTCCTCCTTTCTATCATTCCCTCATTCCGTCAGTCTATCTTCGGATTGTTGCCGCGGCTGGAAGAATCTGCGCGTTGATCAAGTATATTGGCATGTGATCTTAGACAGAAAATTACTGTCAGAAAGAATTTTTTTTGCAAATTTATTGTCTAGATTCTAGATCTAGAGAAATTATCATTGCGAAGATTCGGACGAGCGACAGTCGTTCTAACCCTTACACAACTACATGTAAACTGCGGTGGCAAGACTAACATACGGCCGTTGTCGTTGCTTTAGTCTGAACGCATTATGAAGGATAAGAGATTTGTTGGTACATTTGGTCTGTCGGCCCCCGTCGTTATCCTAGAAGTAGAACGACTGTCGCTCATCCGAGTGTTTTGTTTGAACGTGCAGTTAGTCAGACCTGTTAGCAAAATTGTTTCAATCGCGCATACGCATCACGTGACATGACATCGCCGTGTGAGTTCTGCGTGTCGGGGACCGTCCGTTGACGGGGTCAACCTAAGTTCATGTATTTCGGGACTTATTGGTTGGAGGGGGGGGGTAGACACTTTTGGACTAGGAGTGCTTAACGTGATGCTTCAGGATTCACACAAAAATAATGATAACACGCACGCAAAGACACACAGAGAGCATATAGGCCGAGTAATTTATGGACACCCATGGAAAATTTTTAAGTCAGCTTTGGCAGTCACCTTGGTGATTTGCTGTTGATCCCGATTTTTTTCACCAAATCCCAATTTTTCTCTCCCTGAGATCCTAATTTTGAGGCTTCATAGAATGGCAGGTCTGGTAACTGTATTGTGAAGGTACGGCCTACATATATCTATTCATTATTCCCAGGTTTGCCTTCTATCAGTATCAAAGGTGCGATGACAAATTAATTGAATTAATGTATAGTAGCAATGGAAGGGGAACCTGCTTTTAAACATTGCCAGCAATGGAAAGATATATTGGTGAAGAAATTAAACAAGACAAAATCTGGGTGAAAAAATAGGTAGTATGGGTTGTTGGCAATCTCTTCAAACAGGCTCCCATATGCCATTTTCAACCCTCTAAAAGTACTAAATTTCTATTTCTACGGGGGCTTCGCCCCCTGAACCCCCACCGGGACTCTGTCCCTGGACCCTGCTGGGGGCCGCAGAGGCCCCCAGACCCCCAGCAGAATTTTCCTTACTTTTCAGCTTCAGCTGGTGGAACCACTGTGTAAAGTACTTGTAAGTTACTTTAGGTGCTTACGATACTAAATTCTATGTCAGTATCATAGAAAAAGTGGAACAATTGATATTAAAACTAATTTCAAGATTTCAGTTCCTTTTAAGTTCTGCTTTAAATCATACTTTATTAGATTTCTGAAAAAGAAGTGTAGGGGGGAGATGTTCTAGAATGTTAGGATGGTTGGAAAGCTCAGCTAAGAATTATAGGTGACAGATTATTATGTTTCAAAGAACAAATTTCAATCAAACTGTTCACCCTGTGTTCTACCTAGTTTGATGAACTGAAGGAAAGATTTTTAAAATCATTTTCAAAGATGTTTCAACATGGTTCACAAAACATTTTAAGTGAGTTCTTGTTCCTGAGTAGCTAGTATGGAGATGATCATGGACTGTTTCCACTCACAAACTGGTCCTTTAAGCAACAGTTATCATGATTAAATTGAAATATTCATGCCGATCTTTATTTATTGTGATATTCCTGAACGTAGAATAGTTGTGGTTTTCCCATCGAGTCTCATCAAACTCCATTTGGGGTTTGATTTTTTGTACAAGGATCCTTACGTATTTTAGAGAAGACTTGTTTTCCTCACATGGACTGCAGAACATAATTATAATGGATTAGTGCCGTTTAATGAAGTTTCATTCAAAAAGGCTAATTTGCTAGTCTCACTTTATCCAAATGAAATCACTTCTTGCTGTTCTTAGAAATTTTTTACAATTCTATTAGTTATTATTATCTCAACTTGGAAAATGCAGGGTTTTGTTTGTGTAAGCAGATGATTTTGACTTTGATACTGTTGTAGTCTAGGGCTTAGGTTGCTGGACTTGTAATATTAAGTGGTGGGTTTAAACCCTGCTCAAGGTTTGATGTTGTATCCATGGGAAAAATACTGTACTCAAATTGTCTTCACTTCACCAAGGCTAAGACTGTGAAAGATCTTGCCAATGTATTAGTGTTAGCTCTGTTAAGTGATGGATTGCTGAAGACATGCCATTTTGGAGCACTTTTAAAAAGGAGCATAACGTTAATCATTCAAATTAATTTTCAATTAACGTTTTCATTGTTTGAAACCTAAAAAGACAGAGGCTATCCAGCTGAGAACATTTTGGAATATTATAGGATGTGTGGGGTAATAATAAATTATGAAGCCTATTGAACGTACATGTACTTTTGATCGGAGATATCTGCTATACTTGCAATCTATCATTATTATTATTTTTATGATTATTTTGGTTGTTATTGTGTTTTCCAGTCAAGAGCAGCCTCTCCTAGTCTTCATGATGTTTGTCTCAGAGGGCGACAACGCTCAGGACGCCTTGGCTGTGGCCGATCAGCTCAACGCTTGGCTCAGTCTCATTGAAAAGAAGGTAAGGGACAAAGAGATGCAACTTTCTCCTCTCATGTTTCCTTCAACTACATTTTGTTCCATCTGAGTTCAGATTAACTTGTTGAGGACCCGCATTCTGGTTATTGAACCACACCTGTAGATATACCATTTTGGAGCTCTTTTGAAAAGAAGCGTAACGTTAATCATACAGATTAATTTTCAATTAACGTTTTTTCATTGTTTGAAACCTAAAAAAGATAAAGGATATCATGCATACTATGAAATGTGCAAATTTGTGTTTATGATTCGGGTATGAAAGTTCGAATTATACCACAACATGGCCTTTGATCTCTGTTGTACATATGTGTTTTTTTAGTCCTAAAGAGTTAGAGCCGCAGTTCTTTTTGTTCAAATGTGTTGCAAGTGAACTCCTCGATTCTGAAAAAGCCTTGAAGTAATGCAGCCTAGGAAGGCTCAGGACTGCTTCACTCTCTTTGTCCCTTTTCTCCAAAAGATCATCATCTAATTAATGTTAGAGTGCTGTATGAAGAGAGTTAAAAAGACACAACAAAGTGCACTGTTTATTTCAGTTTTGTGAATTTTAAGTATCTTTTGTATTCTTTCAGGACAAACAAAGCAAAGATCTGGAATCTCAAAACTTTGCTAAAGGAATTGTGGAGTGGAAGGTGCCAATGTCATGGAGACTTGTATTCGGCAGTCGCTTTGATCAAAAACTCTTTCAGTAATGAACCAATATTTCATGTTGTAAATTGTTTTTGTGATTGACATTGACGAGGCTGTAAACCTCTTCTTGCACTTTGTGTAGTGTTTTCATGAACAGTTTTAAGTTGAATGATGCACTGAAATCAGTTCTTTATGTCTGGAAGCTGTCAATGATGAATACAGACAACTGCTTGTTGAGTGGATGCATGAGTGCTACCGTTGACAATGGATTGTACATATATTTTTTAATAAAATCACCACTTGCCACTCCTTATTTCTGTATTTTTCTTTGAAATATGAACAATGTCAGACAGTAGTGTTTGTCTTAATAAAAACATTTCTCGTCACTCGTAACTTTCCTATCGTAACTTAAAACTACATGTAGTTCTTATCATATGTGAAAAATTTACGAAATCACAGATATAACGGCTGGGAGTGTGTAAATGTGACATTTGTGTGTCATTGTGAGTACTCTGCAGTAGGCCTACTTCAGCAGTCTGTCAAGTTCTGGCTTTGCCCACGGTTAAGTTAACGTTGCAGCAAAGGTGCCCATTGTCTCCTTATGTCTGTCCCACAACCAGCACAAAGCCTGAAGTAGTGTCTGATTAGGTAAAGTAGGAACAGAATGTTACAAGGGGATCAACCAAGATAGACATGAGCTCCTGATGAAAGAAACCTCAGTGTTTGCTTGTCACGTTGTCAGTTCAACTCTAAAAGTTTGCTTTTTTTCCAGGCTAGTCCTATGTATTCACAATGGAATGAAGGCAAAGAAAATGTTTCTCAGTAGAGAACAAACTACTTTTGAAAGGACCGCCTGAAAAGGGGCAAATACAATGCTGAAGCTAGTTGTTAGTTCAACATGGCAACCTGTCCCATTCAAGATTAACACCTCAAAACTAGAATCAATAGAAGACAGACTACGTTGTCAAAAAATGCTCAGACTCCGACACAGAAAAATTGAAGTTTAGAATATCTTCTAGCACAACAATGAAATAAGAATGCACAACACACATTTTCAGAAACTACTTCAACTTTTTGACACACCACTGTCTTGGAGGAAATACACTTTTCACCTCCTCAACTAAGTGAATCCACAGGTCTTGGCCTACTTTTCTTTCGACACATGTTACAGGATAGTGTGATAATGTATTTATATGATTCCTCATGCGGAGCGAAGGGAACATTACGTCCCATGATACCAAAGAAATTCAGGAGAAAAATTAAATTTTGAGTGTTGAAAGAATAAATGATCTAAAGTACCGGTACTCTACCTCTCTCTCTCTCTCTCTCTCTCTCCCTCTCTCTCCCTCTCTCTCCCTCTCTCTCTCCCTCTCCCTCTCCCTCTCCCTCTCTTTCTCTCTCTCTCTCTTTCTCTCTCTCTTTCTCTCTCTCTCTCTCTCTCTCTCTCTCTCTCTCTCTCTCTCTTTATGAGATTTCAACAAGACAAGGTATAGATAGATGCAAACTTTATTTAAATTTCTTAACAAACATTCATATCTTCATGTAGTTTTAATGATATTCCATTTTCTGTCCAGCTAGTACTAGTAGTCTTTCTTATTGGCGTCTGGGATCTGGAATATCAGGCCTGGACATGAAGGCAGAGCACAACATTTGCCCGGTGCGGGCGTTGGGTATGTGCACGTCGCGTTCTGCGCAGGGGTCAAGGTCATGGTTAGACAGCTGTGGAGAAATGCAGGATGTTTTAAAGTTCGTTTTAAATCTGTTTGCTTCTGCAAAATTTTCATAAATATAACAGCTTAATCAAGTAACTCCTTTGAAGTAAGTTAATCTGACCCACTATAAAGTGCATTCTAGATGTTCAAAGCTTATTTTGAAGTAGAACCCATACCACCCTGGAGAGTCAAAATGGATTCGATCCACTATGTACTTAACCAAAGAGTTTACACAGGAAGATGGTTTACAACTCTTATTTCAATCAGAGATACTGAAAAGAACATTCTAAAAAATGTGAGTGGTCATCTATATTTAGTGTTTTGTACTATTGCTATTTTTGTAGTGTGGCATATATTTCGTACATAAAAAATAGGACCAGTAACTGTTCTTAAGAACTATTTCAAACAGGACATTTTTATTAGCACTGGTGTTAAGTGGCCTAGACAAGTAGGTCTGCTTGTGTAATTGCGACTAGAAATGAATGTTGCTTCGTGTACACTGCTCAACCCTGACATTCCCACAAGCTGAGCATAGACTTCCCTGAAAGTGTCGCACGGACATTCATAGATGGAGATATCTCACAGTCTATATGATCACATATAAGTGTGCACCTGTCAGTCTGTGTGTTCGTTAGTAAAAAAAAAAAAAAGGGTGGTATATTATATTGTGTAGCAATAGAGGTCTAAGTAGTCGAGCAGCAGGTGGTGAACCCAAGTTAGAAAGGACATCAAGCCACATCTGCACATCAGTTTTTAGAGGGGTTTGTGGCATGGTGGGGGGGGGGGAGTTGTTGTGTCCTTTAGTGAGATAGTATAGCTCAAAAACTGGGCACTGTTCCTCAGAGACTAGCAAAGGTATGTTCGTGAAATTGTCTTTTATATTTCTATATTAAGGCATACAACAATATGTGACAAATCAAAATTTGTTAAATAATGTGATTTTTACGCTTTACAAACAACATGCCTTTTTTACCCAGATTTCACCAGACTTCTTTTCCATCTGGTTCCCTCCTATCTTGTTATAAACTTACATGAAATGTGTGCATCACAAATGACATCTCCTTGTGTCACAAATATCACAAGTAATTTATTCTCCCCTATAGAATCTGTTGTTTTTTCCTTTCTATCATGTTACTCACACAGCCTGGCAGCTGATCGTAGATGAGGCAAGGCATGTACAGTCGGATTCACAGCCGTCTCGCCACCTCTCTCCTTCCCGGTACACTTTAGCTGGATTTTTGGGGTCCACACAACCTGTAATAAGACGGAGAATGAGACGTGTTAAAAGTTGAAGACTTGAGAGATAAACTAAATAAGATGAATATCATTTTTGTCCCAAAGGGAAATTGGTGGTTTGAGGGCACCACTCCGTTCATCTCTATTGAGAAGTCAATTGTGAGGCAGCGTGGTGGAATCAGGCTCTCGTCAAAATAATCAAAGTGAAGAAACTTGCATTTTTCCGCAGGTTTGTGAATTTTTATC